TGGATTGGGACAGAAATGAAACCGTCTCCTTTGCCAGTGAATGCTTCCCAGCCTTGCCCTCTGAGGACTCGCTTCGGGTGCCAGAGTGGCTGTCCCCTTTAGCTGTGGCTTCTGAACCTGGTGCTTGTTACTGTTTAGGGGGCCCTTAACTGCCTGGGAACAGATGATTGAGACTGACTCATCTAGTGTAAGTCATTGAATAACCTTTGGACAGTGAGTGGTTCAGCCTCAGGCCATGTGTAGCTGGAGATCTGCTGATGGGCTCATACCTGTCCCTGTGACCAGGCCGCTCCCCACATACTAGATAAATATTTGAGAACCTAAAGCAGGATTTCTGCATCTGAGTAGTCCCAAGCCACCTGTTGGTTGAGGCTTACAATTTTGTTCTGTATTGTCACTGACCTTGTATCCTTGCCAAAATTATTCATAGGTTTAACAGAAGATGTTCTGCTCCCTTTATACCTCCTGTTTCCTAGGAAGCAACAACGCCAGAACTCTTCTAGTGCCGAGGGAGTCCTTCCAGTCTCTCTCCTGATGTATATTCTCATGGCAAAGACCTTGAAACCTTTCTGTTTCTGAGCTTTAATTCCTGTTTAATCAATAGTTCTGTATTCTGAGAATCAAATCTCTGTGACAGCTCTCTCTAATTGAGCTAAACTGCCTTTCTCTTGTCACATCTCTTCTAGAGTTTTATTTAAATGCATTTGTTCTGCCTGTATCTTGGTAGAGCATTGATAGGAACACCAGGTGACCCTCTTTGTTTAACTTGTTTTTCAGCTAAATGAATGAAAACATTAATTAGGCACTGGTATGTTTTTGGGGGGAGGGGGGGGAGGCTAGGTCAAACTGCTGGCCCTGTAATTACACTCCAACGGAAGCGAGAAGATCTCCATGTTCCCCCTTAGTGACAACCTCCCCATCCACCCCCGGTTCGATTTCTGCCAGCAGCTTAGAGCTAGTCCCTCTCCTGGAGGGCAGGCTGGCATCTATTCCAGCAAGATCATCTTCAGCAAAGCTGATAACAAAAGTTTGAAAGGAAGAGCCAAATTTTCAGTCACACCTGTGCAATCCCCTTTAGGGCAGTAAATGATGATAATACGTGAGTCAGGGGAAAAACAAAAAAAAAAAAAAAAGCAAATGGCTTTTTGGGTCTCTTTTGCATTTTTTTAGAGATGGCAGACAAAAAAAAAGAGAAAAGAATATTTTTAGTATTTTTACTCTGGGAACTGAGCAAGCTAGGTATTTGTTGGCTCAAGGACTCCTCAGTGCATTGTACGACGCTTCGTTTTTCTGCGAGATCAGGGTTGACATTTCCTAGTGTCAGAACATAGCTGTGGAAATGTGCAGTGCTGCTCTTACCCCATGCTATTGCTGAAACACTTCTTTCGCAACGCTGGCAGATTGTATCTCTGAAGTTCTCGAGCTGGTGATTGAGGTGGAATATTAATATGCAGAGGGTTTTATTGCGATCAGCTTACTCTCCTCTTGAAGGCCCCGTGCTTTCAACAGATCCTGCTTCAGGAAAGCTTTTGTGTGATGGTGGGTAAGAGGGCAGCCCGGGTTTTCCATTCTTCGCGCCTGGTAAGCGATGGTGGGCAGCATTTTCCCCTGCGCGTGGGGATTTACCCATGCAACTCCCCTGCGGCTTATGGGGAGAATAGACCTCTGTGAAAGGAAGTAGCCCTGCAGCTGCCCTTCACTGCTGACTCTTGCTCAGCTGCTGGCAGGCTGGGCTGTTAATGACAGATGAGCCTGTGACGCGTTTTTGGGAATGAATACTTGTTACAGCTGGCGGAATGGAATAGTTTGTGGCATCACATGGCAGTTTGCTCTATAATTTCACTCCCTATTGCTCAGATGCAGCACTGATTGCTAGGTCTCGCTCTGAGTGTGTAACTGTAGCATTTCTGATTGCTGCATCCCACTTCTCTGTGGCTGCATTGTGAGCTTGGATATAGCCCTGAGCACTCAGCAGAGCCTTCTGCCGAATTTTTTTTTTTTTCTTCCAGTTCTCTGCGTGTGTGTGGCTGCTGCTTCCCTTTCTGCTAGTCTTTTGGGGTTACATAAAAGCCGGTCTCTTTCTGGCCGTTACAGCTACATGGGGGAGTAGTTACTGCTGAGAGAGGCTTGAAATTTGAAGCAGAGTTGTCATAGACATTAGAAAGAACAGTCAGTCTGCGTTGGCAAGCTACAGAGTTAAGTCTCATTTCATACTGATGGGAATTTCAGATCTGATTATCTCCTTCCTCCCTCATTCCCAAACCTGCTGGTGTGTCTAATCCCCCAATGGGTACTCCTAAAGGCTGCTCTCCAAGGCACTTAGCTGAAGGCTAGATCTTCTTGACTATGTTGCTTGTTTGTGTCCAGGCAGAGGATTTTATAACTACTGGTGAGGGCAGGGGGATTGGTCACCACAATGTACTTGGAAATAATTCAGTGCTTTGTGCTGCACCAGACATCATGACAGATGATATCACTGCTGGGGTCCAGATTTATTTGCAGATGGTCCCTGATCTAAGAGGTTGTGTGTCACATTGAGTGGGGAATTACCCAGGTGACTCCCACTAATGCTATGCTAGTTGGTCAAACATCGGTGAGAAGAACCTTGCCAGATCTCTCTGTCAAACTGTTATTTACAGCTCTTTGTGTGCATCGCATGCACGCATCTCACCTTGTAGTCCTGCCTGCCTTCTCTGCTCCGCGGTATTGACTGTGCTATCTGCCTGCCTTCCCAAAAAAAAAAAAAAAAAAGGGATGGTTCCTCTCTTGCTGTTCTCTGCTGTTCTCCCAAACTGCTTGTTAAGGAGTATTTGGTCTGAGTAGCTGTTTTCAGTTGACAGAACTTGTGTTGGAAAGCAAATACTCAATCCTAAAATGTCCCTGTATTGCTTCTGAATACTTGTAATCAAAGTCTGTCTCCTTTATTGTTCATAACAATTGTCTAATTTTACTGTGCCAGCCCTATTTATTAAAAATAGTCAATAAGACACAGCTTTGTTCAAGGGGTTTATAGACTGGCAGTTTTGTTTGAAGCAAACCAATTGTGCTTGATTCCAGTCCAGAACTCGGATTCCTGTGTCATCCACTACAGCAGAGCTCGTGGAAAGAATGGTCGATGGCTTGCCGGTCAGAAATCTTAGTAGCAGCAAGCTCCTCTTTAAATTTAGCTTGTGCTCTTCTCAGAGTGGTGGGTTAGGAAAAGCAAGAACCACAAGCTGCATTCTGCATCTTGCTTTTACTAGCCTGCGTTGTGCCGCGCTTGTTCCTTAGCACCCCAAGAGTATTTGACAAAAATAATTGTCAAAGTCAGAATCTACTTACAAACTGGTGAGAAAGACATTCAAGGTGAGAACTTGTTGTGGAGCGATAGAGTGTCAGATAGGCAGCCGCGTGAAGAAAGGCTAGGGCACGAATCCTGTTTCCCTGGGGAAATTTGAGGAGTTTGAGACCACCGGGTGTGAAGTGAGCAAGCAAAGGAGTTGATCTGAAGGACGATGTGGAGCCAAAAAAGGCCAATGGATCCTGGAAACGAGATGCCAGTTGTGGCTGGAAGATCGCTAGGAATCTAGGAGCGGTGATCTAAGCTTCCAAGGCTTTTGTTGTGCTCAGCAAACTTTTTCTGGAACGGCGTGGGGCTGTGGAAGAGGCCGGCACTAAGCAATGCCTGCATAAGCATTTCGGGAGAGGGGAAAAGTATGAGGAATGTTGGCAATGCCCAGCTGGAGGTGGGGCAGCTTACAGCTGTGGGGAAGTAAGCGGAAAGGAGTTGTGGGGCGAAGCTGGCCTTTTCACATAGTTTGGCTTTTAGTCACTGCCATCGTAACAGGGCTTGGAGCTGCCTTTGATTCAAGCCATGACTTGGAGACTTCCGAAGAAATACTTGCCATGAGCAAGTAGGGAAGCTCTGATTCAAGTGAGAGAGAAATTCATTTGTTACCTTAAGAAAAGCCCTTACTTCTCATTTTTAAGGTGTGAAGCACAACACCTGAAGGTAAGTATTTTAAATGTGAATTGGTGCAATGGCATTTGCAGACTTTGCACCCAAGCAGCGTCAGCGTTGGTGTGTTTTCCCGTGGCTTTCCCCACCAGCGGGGTGTTGCAACTTGCCTCTTCACATAATGAGCGCTGTGTTCCAGTTTGCCTTTCCTTTTCCCATATTCATTAGAAATCTGCTGCAGACAGTTTTGTTTCTCAGTGGCAATTTCCTTTACTTTTAACGTACTTGATCTCCTCTCGGGTTACGGTGGGAACAGTGCAGGTGTTCTGTGCCCGTGGACTGCCGTTCTTGCGGCTTTTTATAAACGCTGTATGCACCCACCATTGTAGTATAGAAACAAATTTAATCTTCAGTGTTAATAAACAAGTAGAGATGCTCATCTCTGCCAAAGAGATAAAAACTTTTGAATGGTGGGATTTAGTCGTAATATATGATCTGTAATAGTTGCATGACACTGACTAATGCCTGATGACCAGGCTGGCTAGCCAGGGTGGAAAATTGCTGCGCTGTCATGCACTGACAACTGAAAGTAAGGCAGTTCTGCGTGGCCCTTACTTAATGGTAGCATGCTGTCAATCAATTTCTTAATGACTCTTTTAAAGAATAAAAGCCAGAGCCTCCTGGAAAGCTCTTTTAGGCCAGTCCCTTCCTTGTTTCATTTGCTGTTTCTCTGTCCCCTTCCTTTCCCTGCCCCCAAGTGTTTGTCTTGAGCTCTCTACAGCCCTCTGCTTCCTCTCTCTCTCCCTCTGCTCTCATGGCTTGTCCCTTCTCCACATTTTATCTTCTCCCCCTCCTGACTGCCGCTTTCGAAATACACCACTTATTTTCCAATCCAGCCTATTAATCTTTGTCCCACCTACTCATGAGGCATGAAGGTTTTACAGGAGTCCATTAGCTGTTATCTCTATACCTACCCACCAAAGACTGATTGGGAAGAGGGAGAGGTCTAACAGGGAAGTGTTTTCCTGCGGGGGCATTGACTTCTCTTTCCACTAATGCTGACGCTAGGCTCTGCTTGTAGATCCCAGATTTCCTGTCTGCCTGGTTCCATCATAAAAACGTCCTTCCACTCGGGACAGAGGAAATCTTTCTTTAAAATGCTCCTCGTCCCAGAGGCCGCCGGCTACTGCGAGAGCAGAAGGGGGGTTGACCGTAGCCTGTCCTATCCTCCCTGCCTTGCCTGTCTCTTGGGCTTTGCTGGGTTAATCTCATCTTTTAGTTTCGCTGCTGCTCGCTAGCTTGTGACCGGGGTGAGGAGTAACGACGGGGCAGCAGAGCTCTCCGGGTTGCCTTGGGAAGGAGCGGCGCCGCTGTCCTCTCTGCGAGGAGGCCTGTCGTAACAGTCACGAGGGCGAAACTCTCGGTTCTGCAGTGGAGTGTGGCAGCCTGCGCGGGGAGGGTGGGGGTGGCTGGCAGGATGAGCGAGGCTATAAAGGGAGTGTTTTTCTTAGCCTTTATCTCTGCTGACTGTCTTGCACCAGTGCAAATCCTTACTGTAGATGTGCTGTACCATTGTAAAAAGCGACTTTCACCACTACTCTGTGCTTCCAGTTTCAGAACGTGCTTTGAAGGCAAACGCTTGGAGGTGGGGAGGGGGTGCAGGTGCAGACAGCATACTCTGAGCTGGTGTTTGTCGGGGGTGTTCAGGGCATTATTCCATTTTCTGCCCCTCATTCTCCCCATACTTGCAAAGATTAGCAGTACCTGCTTCTATCACCCTAATATGACCTAGCATAGCTGTTGACTTGTTTGGGGTTTTTTTGTTTGTGTTTTTTCCCTTGTCTTTATGTGTACTGACTTGCATCTCTTTCCCCCTGCAGATAGACTTTATTTTTTCCCTTCTTGCTGTTTTTCTTCTGACTGTCCTGCACCTTGGAAGGTTTCCAGCTGGTCTTGGTGGATGGGCTGTCCACCGGTGGCTCTGCAGATCCTAGCCACATGTGTTCTCCTGGCTGAGCCCTGGGGACACGCAGGAGAGAAGCTCGATGCAGGCAGCCTGCAAATGCTGCCTTGTTTATGAGAGCTGCTTGTTGGTGCAGACTGCAGTCTGGGGGGAGCTGGGAAAGTTTGTCTTGCGTAAAGCACCAGAGCCAACAAAAGACTGTAGGAGTTTGGCTGTAATCGATAAAACGTGGGTTTTGTAGAAGCAAGGGTCAGGGTCCTTCCTTAGTTCACCTTGTTCTTTAAATATCCCAGCAGTTACTGGAGGCTGCTGTGGTGCTTGGACACAGTGAAGTCCGGCATGGTCTTCAGTCCTCAGAGAGTCTCTGCTTTCTCTATTTGCATGCAGATCCTCTTGCTCCCCTCTTCGGGAAGGCTTACAGACTTTGGGGGACCGTTTCCTTGCGCAGGGACAGACGCATGAAATGCCTTGCTTCGAGGCGGCGTAAAATGGCAACCCGCATCTGTTTGTCTGGAAGCTATCCTTGCGCGCTGTGCGCTGTGGCTCTTGAACTCCTCTGCCTTAATGGGTCAAATTTAGCAATTCAAAATCTGGCTTCTGAGGTAATTAGGAGGGATAATGCCCACTTCTTCCTCTTAACACCCTGATAGAAAAGCATCCAGGAAGGACTCCTGGACCTCAAAGATAAGCTGCCAGCTGCCACAGAGACTATCAAAGGGTGGCTCAAAGTCAAGAGCGAACAGCTGATTTTTTATGGTTCTTGGTTTTTTGCTGTTGGTGACAGGAAGCCATGTTCCCCAAGCTGTTAGCTTCCTGTTTTATTTTTACACCCAGCCTGAGCAGATCAGCATGCCTATCACATGGGAGCTGGCTGCTTCTGTTGGGTTGTTCCTTAGCTGACCTAGAAAAGTGATTCTTTCCCCTTCTAAATTAATCAAGAAGTTGGGATGTATTTGCTTTCACTTAGTTTTAAAGATTTCAGGCATGCATCACGCTCCTCGTCCTGAGCTCTGTTTACCCAAGTTTCCTTCTCTCCCCGCTCGTCCGCCTCCAAGTGAGAGAACTATTTGTTGCTTCAATGTTTCGGCATGTTAGCGAAGGAGATCTTTGTTAGTTCAAGGCATTGACTTGCACATGAAAGCATTTTCTGTCCAAAGCATAACTTCCGGACACTTTCTTGATGTATTTATTATCTTTTTTTTTTTTTTCTTAAGAAAGAACTGGAAGCTTGTTCCAACTGTTGTACAATCCATCTTGATTTCTTTCTGAGCGTGCTCTAGTCCTGCATCCTGATTAGAGCTCCCACAACATTAAAAGTGCTGTAACGCAAAAACAATGGTGCAGTGTAAACCTTGGCCCCCGGGGATTTTCCAAGGGAAGAGGGGTGCAGCCTGCAGGATAAGGAACAGTCACCAGAAAGTTTCCTGGTCAGCTGCAAGCACTTCCTGTTGTTTCAGGAGAGCCCTTTCTGTCTGTGCTCCTAGGGAGGAGGGAGGCACTGTGCTTTGGCGTACTGCGAGAGGCTTTGTTGTTGTTGTTGTTTTTCTTCAGTTCTCATGCCCTTGGCTTAAGAAAACGTATTAATTGTGAGTTAAAACATTTTGAAGAAGAGCTTGTAAGGCTCGCCTAAGACACTGCGCCTGGCTGCGGAAGGAAGGAGCCCGCTCAGGGGCGGCAAATGGGTAGGAAGGGAACAACGGCTGCGGTAATGCCAGCAGCACCTCGCTTGTGGGCTGAATGTGCAGTTTTCTGCCTCGACACCTGAGCTGGTGGGTCTTTTCTGTTACTACAAGTAATAGAACAGCAGGATCTTTATTTCTGAAGAACCAGTTTTATAAGGGTGGGGAGGGGGAAAGAAGGCTTATAAATAAAGCCATTTGAGAGCAGGAAAAACGAACACCATGGCTCTGGTGTGCCTGGAATTTGCGGTTGAGTAATCCTTTCCTGTTTCTTTTTTGGGTTGTTTTTCATCTTTCAGAACAGTGCCTGAAGCAGGTCCACCATGCCGTTAGTAACGAGGAACATTGAGCCAAGGCACCTGTGCCGTCAGACGTTGCCTAGCGTTCGAAGCGAGCTGGAATGCATGACCAACATCACCCTGGCAAATGTCATTCGACAGCTGGGCAGCCTGAGTGAGTACCATGGCGAGCCTGCGCGTTGCCCTCAGGAGTCGCTAGTGCTCTTTATTTAGCTCCCTTTCTACTCCTGTGTTCCTATTTCTCCCCCATCTGCCTTCCCTGGGTAATGCTAAAATGTTTTCCTAAAGAAATCTGAGAAAAAGGGGGGGGGGGGGGGGGGGGGGGGTTCGTGCGTGTGTGAAAGGCTGCAGCAAAACTGCAGATGGAAGGATGGAGCACAACTCGGGCTTGTAAAATGGGAGGCTCTCGGAGCAGCCAGTGTCTTGTGTTGGAGAATGTGCCTGTAATTGCACGCGCTATTAAATGGAGCTCGACTGTGTTGAATCTACCGTGTGGCAGGAGTCTTATTTTTAATGAAAGGTAATTAAAGCACACATGCAGAAACCAGCCTGTTTGCCCATGCTGTTTGCTTCCTCATAAGACCCAAAGTCCCCTGTTCAGGCAAAGCATTGCCCCGGGGGTGTTGGGGGTTTTGGACCGCTCATTCAAACAGCAGCACAAACTGTAGCTGTGCCTAGCTCAGCTCTCCAGTGGGCTGACCGGTAGCCTTGTTAAGGGCCGGAGGGAAAATGAGGGCCTACATGCCGTAAGAAGAATAAAGAGTTAATTGTGGTCTCTCAGGGATGACTCCTCGCTCTGTTGAAATGCTCTGGATTCTGATTAGCCACCTTTGCCCTTGAAGCAAGACTAGCAAATACTTCGATAATCAGATTAATGCATGGTTTAGCTTCTCTCTGGTGTCCGTGAGCTTTCTGCTTGCTCTGCAAAGTAGGCCCCTTGTCTTCTGCTGTAGTATGCATGTGGCTGAGAAAGCTTGGGTACAGTCTCTTTCCATGTGTTTATTGCCAGTAGGTATCCCATTCTGTTTGCTTGTAGAAATGTCATTGCACAGGCAAGGCCAGTCTCTGCTCACGTTCGACTGACCCTTGTTGTTAATTTCTTAGGTTTTTTTTAATCTAAGATGGTTGTGGAGTGCGAATAAAATCCATCTTGTGCGTGTGAGATGAGGAGGAGGAAGGCAGTAAAGCTGTGCAGTTCTCGGCTACCGAGAAAGCTGGCATGCAGCGAGTTAGTGTGACGGAGCCCCGGTGCGATCCCTCAGGTTTAGACCTTCTTTGTGCAGCTCAGATATTCAAAGCTGCTCTGTTTCTACCTCGTCAGAGAGTGAAGTGCTGGAAGCCAAATTGCAGCCTGGTTCCTTCATCGGGAAGGTACCATGGGAGCCTCGCTCTGGGATGCGGGGAGGTGTGTGCTGCTGGACCAATCGCAGATACCTCTAGGAGAGCGCTGGAGGGGGAAACTTGGGAGAGCTGGTTCTTACCGACACTTGCGTGCATCCCTGCATAAGAAGGGAGAGAGGCGGGTGGGGAGGAAATGCTGAGCATTGTCTCTTATCCGCTTCCCCAGGGTCAGTGGTGTTTTAAATGAAGTGATATTTAGAGTAACTGCTACAGAACGCTTGCGCCCAAATGACCAGACTCTTGTCTCCCCTCGCCCCCCACCTTATCGCTGCTACTTTGGAAAAGAAATCCGCTCCTTCCTCATGTGTTTGAATATTACAGGAATGTAAAGCAGGTTCAGTAGGCTGTGACAGCCCTGTCAAGTGAATAATCAGCCATGCCTAGTGCACCACAGTCTCTTTACAAAGACGCAAACATAAATCTTGTCAAACTTTCATATTCCAGTGAGTTTACCCTTCGTTACTATCACAGCTGGTAGCACTTTGTATAAGTCGACTGTGCATTTGTATGTGATTTTATAGAATCCACAAGCTAAAGATGGAAAGACCTATTAAATCATGCCGTCTGTCTTCCTGCCAGTGCATGACAAAGATAATTTTGATTGTAAGCTGCACTTTTGCAGTCAAAGTAACTAAACCAGAAAACTAATCTCTAGCTTACCCCATCTAAAAGTGTGCATGAAACAGAACAGTATGTGAGAAATCCTGGATGATAACCCAGTCTTGGTGCCCTTGCACGGGTAAGGGAATATGGACTGTCCCTTCCTCTTCCTCCAGGGTCAAGACCAGCGCATGCAACGCTGTTTGTGTTATTTTATGCTTGAAATGTACCACTTGGCACTGCAAGCCAAAGACTTTGTTTTTTCCTAGTGCTTGTCGCAATTCCTTGTGAAATTCAGAAATGGTTTTCAGTTCTCATTAAAATGAAAACTAAATTACAACTTTTGCTTTTTGAGCTGTTCCTGGGAGGTGTCACGTTGCCCTGTAGGTAAGCCCTTACTCTCTTTAATAAAATAGGGCAGCTGGTCTTGTGCTGCTGTTGAACAGAGAGCACCCTTCATGAAACCTGGTTTCAGCAAGAGCTCCCTGCTCCGTAGGTCTGCAGAAATAAAACCCTTCTCGTGAGTTTGAGGGAAGCTGGTAGAACTTGTTAGTGGAGCAGATGCAGAGATTTTTGTGTTGTCTAGGGGCGTGGAAGAAAGAGAGGTCAGTTGAAGTCAACTTCCAGCGTTTGCATTCCACAAACGCTTCAAGCTGGCACTGCCACCAAAAGGAGTGGAGGAGGTTGATTTTTAACCTAGCTTGTTCCCCAGTGCTTGGCAGTGAAAGGAGCACTGCATGGGAGTGGGAGCGAGTAGCTGATACAGGGAGGGACAACTTCTTCTGGCGTCGGTGTCTATTTAGACTAGTTCAAAGTATTAGCGCAACTGTGATGTAGGGCCCTCAAATTGCCCTGCGGAGGAGGCACTTGCCTTTCTGATGTGACTTATTACAGACCACCAGATTTTTCAAAATTGCCGTTAAAGTGGGGCTTCCAACTGGTTGTCCTTTCCTGAAGGTTGGAGAGGATCTTTAGGAGTAGCAGCGAGCAGGTTCCGGAACAAACTGTTGACTATACCATGATGCAGTTCAAAACCAGACTGCTTACTGGGAGCAGCCTTGTTTTCAACAGCTGTGGCTGAAAATGGTTCCCATCAGCAGGGACTCCATGGGAGCACCTTTTGCTGTCGGTGCCAAGTCAGTTTTGATCAGTGTTGTGCTGAGCATGGTTAGGGCCCCGCTGTGCTAGGCGATGCACAAGGGCAAAACAAAAAGTCAGTACTTGGTGTAAGTTCTTGTTCCTCCTTCCATTTCTCCCATCTCTGTCTACCTGGGGCCTCCTGGGGCCACCTTGTTGTATGTGTAGATTTTAAACTCTTAAGGACAGAGGGCATCTTTTTGTTATGCTTTTAAGAGGTGCAGCGAGCTCCTGAGCCGAGCCTCCAGGCACTCTCGCAGTCCAGACGATGGATGATGTTTGTCATGGCAGCCCAGTGGGCAATCCAAGCTGTTACGGAGAGAATATCCCTGTTTGAGAAGTTCCCATTTGATTTTGATTTAGGATAAACGTGAATGCATCAATTTTTCAGATGCTGCCACCTGAAGGAACAAAAGGGTCAGTGCTTTTGTGTGTGGTTGTAACTCAGGCTTTAGGATCAAGGACTGGGTCTGCTCTATAGTTCCAGAGTACTTTGAGCTTGTAAATATGTGCCAGTTACCCTGGAGGCGGGCCTGCTGGAGAGTGGGAGCTTTTGAGATTCTCCAGAGCAATAAAAATCTAACTGTATTTGCTTGTCTAACAAACAGAACAGCAGAGAATCCTGAAGGACCTGCAGACCAACCCAGACTCAAAGCACTGTAGCACTGTCAGCCCTTTTTTGTGACTTTAATAATGACTTCAGAAGTGTATGTCAATTGTTTCTTTATAGCTTAAAGATGCCTTAGAAGGCTCAGGTTTTGGTGGAACAGAGCATTGCCTTATGGGGTATTAGTCTCAACCCTGGCAAACATGAAAACAACCATGTTTCTTTTAAATGCCATTCATGGCTGGCTGATGCAATATGAAGCAGCAATGGCAGATTAATTTTGGTGGGGATGGTTTCAAGAAAGCAAGCTAGGGGATTGAATATGGTCTGATATGGTTCACGAGAGTAATGTGGACACTTTAATATTCCAGGTAAATTTGCAGAGGACATATTTGGAGAGTTGTTTACTCAAGCCAACACCTTTGCCTCTCGGGTGAGCGTTCTCGTCGAGAGAGTTGACCGCTTGCAAGTCAAAGTCACTCAGCTGGATCCCAAAGAGGAAGAAGGTAATGGAGTGGTGCACAGTCCTAGCAGGCCAAGCATGCTGAAGATTCTCACCAAAGTGTGGTTCGTGGCCCTAAAATGAGCTTGACACTGTGATGGGTATTGGAATGTTTTTTTCTCTTGGACTAAGAGGGACTTTTTCCTTTTTTAAAAAAAAAAAAAAAACAAACCACTTATGTGTGCTGCTTATGTGTATAGCCTTGCTGGGTGAGACTAGATTTGCTTGTTAGCCAGTCTCCGGGTAAAAACTGGCTCTTCAGCAGTTTGAGCAGCAGTGCACTGTGTGTCTTGGTCACAGGGGTTTGAAACCACATCAGCAGCTCTCAAGAGAGCCACACCACGTCTTTGCAGCAACAGATCTTGGCACAGCAAGATCTGAGATTTGCCGGGTTTCCCGAGAGATCTGTGGGAAAAGGACCCTGACCTTAAAAAGTGCTAGGCATGCCAAGAACTCCAACTGAAGTCAGATGTTTGCTACTTGATCTTCAGTGTCATTGGCCTGGGTCAAGCTGTTCTTCACTTGCTCTCTCCTCTTTCTTACAGTCTCCCTGCAAGGCATTAACACCAGAAAGGCCTTCAAAAGCTCCACTACACAGGACCAGAAGCTCTTTGACAGAGATTCTCTCCCAGTGCCTGTCCTTGAAACCTATGGGACCTGCAATACTCCTCCACCTCTCAACATCCTTTCCCCTTACAGGTAATGCTACAGCATCTCCTTGGCCCCTTGTTCCCTTGCAAAGGAGTATCTCTTCCTCCCAGCCAGCTGAGGAGATTGCTACCCATCCATGAAGCAGTGTCTTGGCTGCTTTATTGAAATAGCAGTTCCCAATGGGAAATTGCATTCCTAAAGTGAGATCCACCAGGAAATCTCCATCCTCTGGATTACATGAAACGTTGCTTTTGGGGCTGTATGAATGAGCGTAGCTGGAAAAATACGTTTGGTTACCTGATGTAGCTTTTGTGACTGCCTTGGGGCAAGGCTTGGCTGGCACTACATAAGCATGCTAGGTGTTGTGCAGATGATGTTTTTCTTGTGCTTCTCTGTGGGCCTGTGGCTTCTTTCCAGAAAGCCACAGTGCTGACTGCAGCGCGTACATCTATGTGTGGCTCTCGCCCAGGTGGGTGCAGCACACTCCTGTAGATCTGGAGGTGCTTTCTTATGGCCTTCTGTGCCTGGTCTGAGACATCTGATGTGACCTACACTGTGGCTGTCTAACCAGTTCTCCTTAGCAGTCCCGCTCTACCATTTCATCTTGTAGATAGGAAGTAAAGGGGGTCAGAATACAGCGATTTCTTTAGCCTGCATCCATAAATATCTTTTGAACAGGTAAAAAGTAATTACAGATAGCTGGAGGCAGCTGTCTTCTGCCAGACGCGGCTGCACTGCAAAGTAGGAGTGTGTGTTTGTACTCGTGAGTTTCAAGGACGCTGCTGGTCTGATTTAGCGTTCCTGGGCTGGAGAAGGATTTTTCACACCAAAAAAAAATAATAGAAACAAGTGGGAGCTGGAGTGAGAGACCTGCGGCTCTCTTGGTGATTGTTCAAAGCAGTTGAGTTCTTCAGGTGCTGAAATCCAGAGTAATGGAGTGTGTGAGGGGGCGAAAGCAATGGAAAGTGGGAGAGCTGGGACAACTGGATGGCTCTTGTGAGGCTGATGGTCTGCTGCCTGTTTTGAAATGGAGGACCGAGGCGAGAGCAGAATGTTTGAGCTTCTCATTTGAGACCTTTTAAACTGTTGTGTAGGGTTGTGCCTTGTGTTTTCTTTGGGCTTCAAACAAATGAGTGACTTGGTCCTTGTTTATGTGTGTGTTTTGGTTTTTGTTTGTTTTTTTTCCCCCTCTGTGTTCTAGGGATGATGGCAAAGAAGCACTTAAATTCTACACGGATCCTTCATATTTCTTTGACCTTTGGAAAGAGAAAATGCTTCAGGACACCAAGGATATTATGAAAGAGAAGCGGAAACATAGGGTGAGGATATGGGAGATCTCTGCCAGCAGGGGCACATCAGGGGAGAAAAGGAGGTGGCAAATGTTGACGACTGTGGGGGCCTCAAAAGTTACTATCCAAAATTGAGATTTTAATCTCTTAAACTTTTTAGGATCAGTTCAGTGAATTTTTTTTCCTCTCTTTACTCTTTTAAATTAGCAAGGATGAGGAGGGAAAAAAAAAAAAGCCCCCTTCTTGGTTTAGTTATAGTGGCTTAATTTGTAGTCCTCAAACGTAGCGCTGGTGCAGTCAGCAGGTGAGAAAGTTGTATCAGAGTCTTTTCTGCCCTTCTGACATTGCACCAGGGCTCTGTGCAGTGTTGAAGCGGTGCAAATACCCCAGCCTCGGTGCCTCAGTGTGCCGAGTCCTGTAATAAATTCTGTTGCAGAAGAGTAAAGAAAGGAAAATGTCCCTTCAGGAGTGCAAAGCGAGGTCCTAATGTTAAAATAAAGCCAAGGAGGAGCCTTGACAAAACCGTCTAAGCTGAAAACAGCAGGTAGAGTTCCTGGTTTGGTTTCCTGGGGATTTGGAGCCGTGTTCACCAGCATTGAAAGCTGCATCATGAAATAATTGAATTGAATATATTTTATTTAGCTTTCAAGCAGCTGAAGTATTAAATATCAAAGCAGATAATGATTTTCCAGTCAAAATAACAAAAGCGATGTAGGGCGTATCAAAATACAAAACAAAGCTAGCTAAAACCTAATTCTTTGTGGGCAGGTGTCCACATTGCACACCTGAAGCAAAGCGCTACGTGTGAGCCAGGGGCTGGTAAGGATTTGGCAGTCTTGACACAGAGGCCAAAAACTGAATTGATGAGGAAAACTGACCTTCCTCTCTGCCCTCAAGGTGATCATGCCAGAGTGCGATGATGGCATGATGTCTGGGCTGCACAGGGGAAATCTGACACTGTCTCTTTTTGGTACTGTCTGTGCTTTGTATGGGTGTGTCTTTGGAGCTATCAGCAGCTAGGAAAGTGAATTAAAAAATCTCAGCCCTCTCTGAGAATATATCTTCTTAAAACTGCTACAGGTCTGTCCTAGTCCTTTCCCTTCCCAGTGAGTTTAAAGCAAGGCTTTCTTTTTTTTTTTTTTTTTTGATTCCTCCTCCCTTTCCTTTCTTCCTGTAGAAAGAGAAAAAGGAGAATCCTAACCGAGGAAATGTGAACCCACGGAAAATCAAAACTCGGAAAGAAGAGTGGGAGAAGCTGAAAATGGGGCAAGAATTTGTCGAGTCAAAGGACAAACACGGTCCTGCCGGGTAAGCAAGTCTGGGGCTCTCTTTTCCCCTCTCCAACAAGGGGGAGTGGGTGGGTGTTGTTGATTGTAATGCAGTTCACCCTGCTCTGCAGCTTCTCCAGATCTGCTGCACCGTGTGGATCGATATTGCCACTAATCAGATTCTCCAAAGTAAATCCGTCTGGTGATTTAAAATTTGCTAAATAAATCAGGGAGCTGTGCAGTTTAAACAAGGTGGCAGGAACAGCTTCAGCAGCAAGTCTGCTCTCAGCTGCCTGTCTTGTGGGCACAGAAGTGTTGAGAGCTTTGGCTCTGCACCCCATTACAGTGCCCTTCTCATCGCACCTAGCCTCTGGGCCTTACACTGAGGAGCAGGGTGGCGTTTCGGAGGTATTGTGTGATTGCTTTGTTACATTTTGCAAACGGCTCTTCACACCCCAAAGTTGAAGCGGAGGCAGTCTTCATCCAAGTATTTCAAGCTACAGATCTCTCTTTAGCGCTTCTGGCTTGGGAATTCATTTAACTTTTGACACCAGCTAGGCTGGAAGCAGACAGAATTCCCCACAATGCACTTCTTGCTTGCTCTCTCCTTGCAGCTTCCTTTCATATAAGAAAAATCTCTCTTTTAAATCATACTCCCCAGCTAAAAATAAAACTTGCTTTTAGTTTAATAGGGGAACGGGTTTGGTTTCTAGCAGAGGAATCAAGCAGCACAACAGCACCATTTTCTTGCTCCTGTTTTCTAGTGTAAATGTGTCCATGCATTTGAATTCATTTGAGGTCCAGAGCCTCCAAGACTACTTCTCTTTTTCTTTTTCCCTTCTCTGTGGAGTGAACTCATTGAAACTTGAATGTGAGAGTGGGCTCTTCCTTCGGTACTGCTTCTGCTTTGGATACTTATTTTTAATGGCATCACTGTTTCTTGGGGGCTTTCTGATGTTCTATTTTCAAGCTTTATTATTTGGCATCTTTTGGCTCTCTTCTTTTTTTGCCACTGATATGCAGTGTAACTGGTAGCCCCTTGAGTCCAAGCTGGCCAAAACGCACTCTTGCAAGCATATCTCTACACCCAAATGCTAATGGAAATATTCTTAATTCGTTTTTTGTTCACTAAAGCATATACTCTTGCTTAAGCAATTCTGAAAATCAGGTGTGTGGTAGCAGTGTAAAACCAGGAGAGCATTTCTAACCAAAGAATTATGCAGAAGTTAACTGTTAAAGCAGTACCTGATTCTTCATATGGGATGCTTTGGGGAATGGAGATATTTTGTGAAATGTTGCTTTAACATTGTTGTTGTTCTGTGTGTCCTGTTGTGGTGGCTAAGGTCTCACCTTAGGGCAGGTTCCACTCTGCTGGACAAAATCATTCTGGCCCGGAAGAACTAATTCTTAAATCTTGCAGGTTGATCCTTTTACTGTTAATCTTGCTGCTGTTTGTGGTCAAATGGTTGCTTGGTTATGTTGTAGCCCTTCCAGGGGGCAAAGCTCTTCTGAGTGAGGGGAAAATGAGCTTTTGATGTTACTTTTGAGCTCTGTATTTGAAGTGCTTGTGTTGCCTTCTCTCAGGTACCCCTCTAACATGGTATATCAGAACGGCAGCATCGGCTCAAACGAAAGCATGGACGTGAACTGCTACCCGCCACCGCCGCAGACTGACTCTATTGTGCCACCACCTCCTTCGTTCCCAGATGACAGCCTGCCTCCACCCCCGGTGGAATTTAGGTAAGCCTACGGGATCCCTTCTGTCACCAAGTAGTAGTAGGTGGTGTAAAAGGATGACAGGAGACAGGCTGGGAGAGTTCAGCATAATTTCCTAACGGGTGTTGTATAGGAACCAGAATGCTTCTGTCTGGAGGGGAAGTGCAGCTGCAGGCAGGGATGGAGTCAAAGACAGAACAGCTCTCCATAAATCCCGACCACCGTTGTTCCTTACAGGAAGGAAGAATGGGCTTGGGCAAGAACTGGAGCAGACTTGCTTTGCTTTGTGACGGAACAGAGTCCTACTTAATGGTCTGGCTCCATTGCATGAGTTTGGCTAGTCCCTCTTTTCCAGTACAGTAGTTTTAAAGTGCATAGACTTGTGTTCCTGACAGAGCTCTGCAAAGAACAGTTTCTTTTGTTTGTTTCTCTTTTGGTTGCCATTTGCCCTGTCATTTGAGCAAACGTGGATGCTGAAGATGTAGTTAAAATTAAAGGACCTGAGCATGCAACTGACTACTCAGACTTCAGTGTGAGTTTGGGGCAGCTGCTCTGTATAGGATGAAATGGTGACTTCCAGCCACCTTTAGAGATTAGGGATTGTGGGCCGGTGCTGACTCGGAACACAAAGGTCAAAACAAGGGAGTA